CTCACCCCGCCCGAATGTTGAGTGAATGTTGTGTTTTTATGGTTAATTTTCTTTTAATCACGATTCTTTTCTTTTTAAGTCTTGTCTTGCACTCCCTTCCCTTCATTGTTGTAAGCCGCCCTGAGTCCCCTCAGGGAAAAGGGCGGCATATAAATCCCCAATAAAATCCTAAAATCCTAAATGCCCTGGCCAGCTCTCCCTGCAGAGCCAGGGCACCTCCACTGCCGCCACCACCCCCACCGCATTCCAGCAGGGCTTTTTCGGCGGCTTCCAAACCGAGTCTTCCAGCAGTGGCCGCTCTGGCATACGCTCTATGGTTGTATGCTCTGCCGGCATCTGGCCCACAACCATAGAGCGTTTGCCCAGAGCAGCCACTGCTGGAAGACTCGGTTTGGAAGCTGCCAAAAAAGCTATGCTGGGATGGCGGCGGTGGCAGCAGAGGTGCTCTGGCTCTGCGGGGAGAGCTGGGCCAGGGCATTGTGAGGCTGGGAGGCGTGTGAGTGAGAGCAGAACAGCCGCTCACGCAACCCCCCTCTCCAGCCATGCAGAGCGCCATTCACTGGCATTTCGAAGGCACCAAGCTGCGGGATCCGAGAGGCAGTGAACAGGCGCTCACACGGCTTGGTGACACCCCTAGGTCAGTGAATGGTGCTGTGCCCGGCTGGAAAGGGGGTTCGCCGGGTGGCTGCTCATGAGCGTGGTCGCTTCATGGCTGTTGTGTTGCGCTGCTGCGACATTCGTCCATGAGGCTGTGCATGGCTCTTTGGGAGCCTGCTTGCAAGAGACGAGCCACCCACAACCCCAAAACAATAAACCCTCCCCTCATAATAAGGCCCAAGCATGGTAGTATCTTGTTAATTTCTGCCTAAGGCTTAGTTTTCTTTTGTGTGATACTTTTTGAACATGCTCATCTGATTTATACATTCTCCTCTTAATATTGCCTTCACCTTCTTGGTATTTCATTATTACTATTATTTTTTAAAAAATTAAAGTTTGAATTAATCATTGCGTTGCTGGTACACTGCACAATAAAATAGGATTAAAATTATAAATCCCTATCCAAATAGAGCAAATTCTGCTTAGCATTTTTCAGTCAGACACTACCACTGGCTGTGAAGAAATAGGGGAGGGGGGGATAACATTCACATCATCACTAGTTTGATCATTCAGGAGGATGAGGCAATGCTTCTGAAAAGAAACCTCTGAATCAAAACCAAATAAATAAATGCACGCTACAATTTGCCATTTGTAAATAGCAAGCTCAACTGAGGAATGACCGCTATTTTCCCCTCACTTTCCCAATACGGACATAATACAGATATCTCTGAAAATGATTGACTGATATTTATATACAGAAGGACAGGAAGAGAGAGAGAGAAAGAGATAACCAGACAGACTATACAGAGAAATTATCTCAGTCTTTTAACAATTGACAGGAAATGAAGAAATTATATTGTGCCATTTAAGAAACACTTTTCCTGAGCCAGGCAAGATTACCTTGCAAAGTGTGATCTATTGGGAAATGTTTGGTTTCTTCAAAAGCTTTGCTTATTACTGGTCCTTTGAGAAGGACATTGATAGCATCCACCTGCAAAGAAGCACATTTACTCAGTCTTTAACATTCTTCTGGCCTTTTTGGAGATAAAATCCTATTTGCAAAAAAAAACCTCTCTAGTAATTACATTTTATCTATTGTACTTTGATTGAAAAGCAACCTGGAGCAGATTAAAAGTACTGAATTTCTGGTCTGAAATGAGAAAACAGTAGCAGGAATATTGCTTCCAGTCAAGCTATTATTAATGAAGACTGGGACAGCAATAGGACATGAAATACTAGTAGAAACTAATACTTATTAACTGCCTATGTATACCCCCCAAAGGTAAGCCAAGAACTATTAATTTAGATAGAGATGAACATTTGCTGCATGTCCTATGTGATTAAGTTTTTAAAGTCTAAGTTAGAAGATGTATTTATTCAATGTTTGTATTCTATTTTCTTTCCTGAGAACCCCAAAATAGCCAACTATGTAATTTTAAAAAATCAAAATGAAGTAAAATAAAATAGTCCTTTTCTAATCAGTCAATAATCTTATTAATTATTAATACAGAATAAATTATTACTATTTCAGTTAAATCTAAAGTAAAGGATTAAACCAGGGGTGAAATTCAGCAGGTTCTGACAGGTTCTGGAGAAACGGTAGCCGAAATTTTGAGTAGTTCGGAGAACCAGCAAATACCACCTCTGGCTGGCCCCAAGAGTTGGGAGAGAATGGAGATTTTGCAATATCTTTCCCCTAGGAGTGGGAATGGGGATTTTGCAGTATCCTTCCTCTGCCAGGCCCACCAAGCCACGTCCACAGAACCGGTAGTAAAAAAAATTGAATTTCACCACTGGATTAAACATTCTACCATATTAACACCAATCATTCAATTTAGTAAAAAAAACAAAAAAAAAACAATCATGCATTAATATTACATTACACAGGTGAAATTTAGGAACCGAGTACAAAATTGACTTGCATAGGAGAAATCCAATTTTACAGTTCAATTTCTTCAGATACTCCAACAAGGCACTTCCAGACTAGAAACTGGGAGACTGTGAATTTTAGTCCTGCCTTAGGCATGAAAACTGACTATGTGACTTTGGGTCAGTCACTCTCTCTCAGCTCAACTCACCTCACAAGATTGTTGCTGTGGGGGAAATGGGAGGAGGAAGGAGTATTTAGGTATGTTTGCTGCCTTGAGCTCTTTTTAAAAATGATAAAGGCAGGATAAAAAAATATAAACTCCAGAAGTGACAAAAGGTTTATGATTAAACCCACAAAGAGAGCCATAACATCTTTTCCCTTACATTTTTCTCTTACATAAAAGGAAAGAGGAACATAATAAAAAGCTCTGGATTATGACCTCATTGAGGTCTAGGAAGAGTCAGTCTAGTACAGGGGTGTCAAACTCGTCATGTGATGTATTGGGATTTTTTTCTCCTTCACTAAACCGGGCGTGGGCGTGGTCAGCTCATGACGCATCCAGACCGCGGGCCGGGAGTTTGACAGTCCTGGTCTAGTATCCCATTTAATTATTACCTGATAACTTTTTAGCTTTGATTTTTCTTCCCTAGAATTCTCACCTGAATCATGACGGATGGCAAATACATTTGATAAACAAACGAAAAAACAATGGTTGGCAGAAATTAGCAAGTGACTTTAAAATGTTATTGGCTACATAAATTAAAGGAAGTTTTTCCCTGAAGGGCAGGCGCTGGTGACAAACATTAGGAAAAAAACACAGTGTTTTCATGCCATGACTATGAAATTCCAAAGGAGTGACAACTAGTATTAGAAGCCATATGTTGCGTTAAATAATGTTTGATGCCTTGAATGACAGAATATCTAATCTAACCCTCCTTCAGAATCTGCTAATACAACCTCCACATCATTAATTGTACAACTATAAAAAGGTAAAATCTCTTTACCTGGTTAAAAAGATGCTCAAGGCAGCCATGAAGCTTGTCTTGTTTGTCTGAGGGAATTCTCATATCACTGGGAAGTTCATCACCTAAAATGAAATAAATAAACTTTGATCTTTATTCCCACGCTGAACTTCACAAGCACACACTGATCTTTAAATTTGCTCACATTTTTTCTTTCTCTTTCATCCTATATACATTTTCCACTCCTTGTTCATTTCCCTTCATATTTCCATCTAACTATCCAATGTCTAGCTTTTGATGAATTCCACAGCTTCCCCTAAATTCTTAGACATGATCTCTTTCTAACAAAGCAGATTCATTATTAGATTCATTTACTGAAAAAGCAAAAACAAAAATATTTGCATTGATTGGGAACATAATTTTGCCCCATTTCTAATAATGTTTTTGGAACAAATTATATGAGCTACAATAGGGAGATTTCAGCAGATAACCTGCAGTTAGTTAAAGTGCCTATAATTAATAGGGCTGCTGAAACTCTTTTTCACAAGCGCTGGATAAATAACTATGTGCCAAACTGAAGTGGCAAGATTCCTTGAAACTGATGGCATTGCTCATGTCATTTTGAGAAACAAAATACATAAAAATTATAGCAAGCTATAGATCCTCAGTATGAGCCCTAAATGTGCTAATATGCCAACAGAGCATTTCCTTAGCAGCCTACATTAATTAAATTCATTTAATTCTTTTCTCTTTTTTTTTACTACTGAATCTGCTAACCAGGAATGATTAGTTATTATTGTACACCAGTGGTGGATTGCAGGAGGTATGCCCCGGTACTGGCATACCGGAGCCTACCCAGAGCACCGGGTACCGTTCCGGTACGGTGCTACGGAGCGCTCACTCGAGCTCCTTACCTGTCCTTTAAAGTCTTTGGGTCTTCCGCGCACACACATGGCACGTACAGCGCCGACCAGCTGGAGCATCGTGGAGGCTTGTGGAAGCATCGCTGGTAGGTACGACACATGCGCGCACCGCGAGCATCCATGTGGGTGACGCCAGACCTGTTCCAACCGTACCGGTTGGAACAGGATCCGGAACCCACCACTGTTGTACACATCTGGAAAATACTAGTGTGGTGTATCATTTAATCCGTGTTGAAAACTTCTATATAGCATTTACTTACCTGATCCCATTTCATCACTGCCTAAGTAAGAGCTGTTACTCCGGACACTGGTATAAGAAAGGACTGAATCCCTATTGCTGTTACATTCACTGGAAAGAAAGAAAAAATGGATATAATATATAGCTTGGGAAAATAAGAAAACATAGAGAGAACTTGTTCATTTCTATCTTATCCATCTCCAAGAATTAAGACTCTGCTTACAAAATTCCATGAAGGGAATACTAGCCTTTAGTATTATTATTTTTTTAATTGAACTTCCATCTTTAATACTTTGTCTTCTACTGATGAAGATGCATTACAGAATTAATACATTACTCTTGATGAGAATGGCTAAACATGATAAAGATTCATTATTAAACCTGTCATGGTTCTTCATGACCTTTAGAAACCACATCCTGTAAGAACCAATTAATATAACCAACACTATAGAAATCATATTCACATGAAAAGCCATTCATCTTTTGTTTATCTGAATGAAAATTCTTGCCATATGTAATGGGACTTACTTCTCAGTAATATATATTCCAAAAAATATCAGAATAACAGAGTTGGAAGGGACCTTGGAGGTCTTCTAGTCCAACCCTCTGCTCAAGCAGGAGACCCTATACCATTCCAAACAAGTGGCTCTCCAGTCTTTTCGCAAAAGCTTCCAATGATGGAGCACCCACGACCCAATCAGAAATCAAAAGGGCTGAAAGCTGTCTTCCCTGAACATTGAGGTTTCCTGGGTTGGTGACTCTTCAAAAAAAAAATCTCTTTTAAAATAACTTTCTACTTATAATATTTCATTCCCCCAAACATCTCTTTCTCCCATTTCTAAACAGGATACAACATACAGGTAGAAGGAGCCAAAGATGTATACAGGAAATTAAGGGATATAATCAGTGGTGGGATTCAGCCAATTCGCACCACTTAGGGAGAACCGGTTGTTAACTTTCTGAGCAGTTTGGTGAACTGGTTGTTGGAAGAAATCATTAGGGCAGAGAACCAGTTGTTAAATTATTTGAATCCCACCACCCTATCAACAAACTCTTTTTTTTAATCATTCTTGTAAACTTTACATATCTATTCTCCAATTTGAAA